CGTGCATGGCGCGCCCAGAGCCCGGCTCCCGCGGGCCCCCCCGGAGCGCCCCCGGGGCACAGCGGCTCTTGGGCGGGCCCCTTTCGGACAGCTGCTTCTGAACCGTGGCCCTCGATCTCTGGATGCCGCGGTGCCCTGGAGAAGCCCGCCTGCGTTGGGGCAGAACCGCGGCGGCGCTGCGCCGGATTCCGCCCTCCGCCTAGTCCTTCTGCGCCCGGCCGCGGTGGGTCCGCAGCCGGCTGCGGGGAGCCTGAGATTGCGGAGCCGGCGCCACAGCTCTCTGGGGCCGGCGGGTCCCGGCCTGCCCCGCTCGGTTTGGGGGGAAGAGGGAGGCGAGAGGGGAAGGGCCGCGCCGCAGGAGCCGGTCCTCGCCCCCGCCCCCTGCGCGGACGCGCCGAAGGCTCCGCTCGGCTTTAGCCCGGGCCACGCTCCCACTCTCGCCGCGGGAGGTGGGGGATGCGGGCGACGGCCCCCCTGGGCTCCAGGACCCTCCCCCCCAGGGCTCGGGAGCTGTTGCTCCGCCCGCCGCCCCCTCCCCCGTCCTCTCCACCCCCTATCCCACCTCCCCACCCCTCGTAAGAAAATAATGCTGGCAGGCGCCCGCACCTCCCATTCGCTCCCAGTCCGCTGAGACGAAAGGGCACCCGCTTGGTCTCCACGCCGGGACCCCAGCCTCGCTGCTCCGCCGCCGCCTCGCCGCGTGTGCCGCTGGGCTCCGCTTGGGCAGAATCTGCTAGCGCCGCGCCAGGGCATTGGCAGCCCCCGGGAGGCGCCGCCCGCAAGGACACCTCTCCGTCCCGCCTCGCCCGCAACTCCGGTCCTGTCGAGCTCGCTGCGAGCCAGGAGTCCGGACACCCCTCTGCGCGCGGCGCAGCAGTTCCAGCAGTCCCCGCTGCCCCAGCTCGGAGCCAACTCTCTCTCGGACCTGGGACTCTCGAGGCGGATTCTCAGCCACTTCTCACCTCGGGGCAGTGCCTGCCTCTCCGCTTGCCCTCCCGCTGCCCTCCTTCTCCGCTCAGGACGGGGGTGCCAAGATGCCCCGCTGCTGCGCAGGGCCCCGGGCCGCCCCAGACGTGTGACCCCAGCCTGGTCCCCCTGCTCGGCCGTCCGTCCTCCCCTTGGAGACCCCCGCCCCGACCCCCGGGGGAGGAGGAAGAAGACGAGGCCGAGGGGGGGATGTCCGGCTCCAAAAGCGTGAGCCCCCCGGGCTACGCGGCGCAGACAGCATTGGCGCCGGCGTCCCGGGGAGGCCAGGAACACCGCTCCGCGTGGGGAGAGGCCGACTCCCGCGCCAACGGCTACCCCCATGGCCCCGGAGATTCTACCCGCGGCTCCACCAAAAAACCCGGGGGGGCGGTGACCCCGCAGCAGCAGCAGCAGCAGCAGCAGCAGCAGCAGCAGCAGCAGCAGCAGCAGCAGCA